CGGCCTTGGCAGCTGTAAGGAAGCGAGATAGAATGATATCCATCATCCTTGCACTTTTTCTTATCTTGCCATGAATGAAATATTATTTTATTTTAAATGATGCTCATTTTAATAGACGCTAGTAATTAATTTATTTGTACTTGTTAATCAATAATATAATACTTTTATCAATAATAATATACTACAAAAGGAGCTATGTTCCAACCGAGTGTTCCACGACACTCATGCATGGTTTTTATGTATGTAGGCAATGTGTGATTAATCAAACAAAATATTTTCCAGGCATCTTCATCATCAGAATATCATATTTAAGTTTAAGAAATAAAAAAATTACGGAAATGTCGTGATTATGCCATCATAAAACAATCAATAAAATAGTCGTTGTAGTTGAAACATTTTTAAAAAGATGCTTAGTTATTATCTTTTCTTTTGAGATATTATTTACGCAGGTGTCTCATCAACTCTTGGCGTACAAAGCAAATTGCGGACGAATATTTTTATTTTTATACGGACTGAAATAATGTACAATTTTTGCTGATGCACTATTGTTTTCGTTAGAACTGATTATTCTCTTTGCTGGTCACTATTAATAGAAAAAAATAGTTTTATTCTTAAAAACCTTAGAATTTCAATAAAAAGAAGCAAACTTCGTCTTAGACAAGTTTAGCTTAGTATGTTCTAAAAGGTTTAAGGTATCACCCCCTTCAAGCTTTGCACTCGTCTTCCAAACATTCTTTATTATATTATGGAGTTTTATGATTCATACTTGCCTTTTTTTAGAAATGTATTTTATGTTATTTAATTTAAGCGGTAAAGGTATTCTGTGAATACCCCTTATTACTTATTAATTTAAACGGACATAATATCATTATCATCATTACAGCCCTTCACAAGTCCACTGCTGAACATAGGCCTCCCCCAAAGAATGCCACAAAGCACGGTCCTGAGCCACCTGCATCCATCGACTTCCTGCATATCTTACCAGGTCGTCACTCCATCTAGTGGGGGGACGCCCTACACTTCGCCTGCCGGTACGAGGCTGCCACTCGAGAACCTTTCTTCCCCATCGGTTGTCGGTTCTTCGAGCTATATGGCCGGCCCATTGCCACTTCAGCTTACTAATCCGTTGGGCTATGTCGGTCACTCTAGTTCTACTGCGGATATCCTCATTTCTGAGTTTATCACGCAGAGAAACTCCGAGTATAGCCCTCTCCATAGCTCGCTGAGCGACCTTGAGCTTCCTCATCCGGCCAGCAGTGAAGGACCACGTCTCAGTTCCGTATGTCATCACTGGCAACACGCACTGGGTGTACAGTCTCGTTTTCAAGTTTTGAGGTATACCTGACGAGAAGATGTGCCGTAATTTCCCGAACGCTGCCCAACCGAGTTGAATCCGTCGATTGACCTCTCGGTCGAAGTTGGACTTACCTAGTCGGACTATTTGTCCCAGGTAAACATACTCGTCAACAACTTCGAGCTTAGTGTTCCCAACAACTACCGGCATAGGTGTGACATGGTCATTAAACATGATCTTTGTTTTGTCCATGTTCATCTTAAGACCTATCCGTTGGGAAACACTATTGAGGTCATTGAGCATAGTGCTTAGGTCCTCCAGCGATTCTGCCATAAGGACTATATCGTCGGCAAATCGAAGGTGAGTGATGTACTCGCCATTGATGTTGATACCGTATCCTTTCCAGTCCAGAAGCTTGAAAACATCTTCCAATGCAGCGGTAAAGAGTTTCGGGGATATGACGTCACCCTGTCTTACACCTCTCTGCAATTGGATAGGTTTCGTACTCTGGTTCTGTACTCGGATAGCCATCGTAGCCCTACTGTACAAGCACTTCAACACTTCGATATACCGACAGTCAACTTGGCATCGCTGAAGGGACTGCAGCACCGCCCAAATTTCGACGGAATCAAAGGCTTTCTCATAGTCCACATACGCCAGACATAGTGGCAAATTGTACTCCTCGGACTTCTGTACAACTTGCCGAAGGGTATGTATGTGGTCTATGGTGCTAAAGCCTTTTCGGAAACCGGCTTGTTCGGGAGGCTGGAAGTCGTCAAATCTGCGCGCGAGACGATTCGTAATGACTCTCGAAAACAGCACGTAGACGCGGCTCAGAAGGGAAATCGGTCTGTAGTTCTTCAAGAGAGCGTTGTCGCCTTTCTTGAAGAACAAGACCACCGCACTTCTGCTCCACGCCTCCGGTGTAATGCCACCATGGAGGACGGAATTAAAGAGCTTCTGAAGGACTTCAAGTACCGGTTTTCCACCCGCTTTCAGAAGCTCCGCTGTAATTCCATCCTCGCCTGGGGCCTTGCCGTTTTTAAGGTGCTGGAGAGCCATTCTAATCTCGCTCAGACTGACGTCCGGGATATCATCGGAATAATGTCGGATAAGACTCGCTCTTGGATCGTTACTCACACTTGCGTGCGGCTCCAACGATGACGTGTACAGCTGCCCATAGAACCTCTCAATCTCACTCAAAATCTCAGGTGCCCCGGAAACGATGCTGCCACATTCTGTCTTCAGCTTTGACAGTTGGCGCTTTCTGGCAGACAGATCTCTGGCAAAGACTTTGGAGCCTTGGTTCCGCTCGATCGCTTCTTCAATACGAGCTGTATTGAAGTTGCGTAAGTCCCGCCGCATGCATTTGGAGATCTGTCTGTTCAGTTGCCTGTATGCTGTTAAATCTGTTGAAGAATGTAGCTTCATCTCCCGTCTAACAGCCATGAGATTAAGAGTGTGATCGGAGAGTTTTTGTGTTCTTCTGCGGCGGGTCTTGCAGAACTTAGCTCCGACCGCATGGACAGTTTCCACGAGCTTGTCATTCAAATCGTCCACTTCATTGCAGTCTTCTAGGCACTGAAAACGGTTTTGTAACTCGAGCTGAAAGGTTTCGGGACTTTGGATTAGAGCACGAGGGGGACGGAGCGTTGACTTCATTAGACGAGACCTCTCCAACTTAACGTTTAGGTTCAGTTTGCCTCTAACCATTCGGTGATCGCTGCCGGTTTTCACCCTCGCGATCACTGAGACATCACTGAACAGTTGTCGTCTGGTCGTCATAATGAAGTCAATCTCATTTTTTGTCGAACCGTCGGGGCTCGACCAGGTCCACTTCCTGTGGGGCCGCTTCTGGAAGAAAGAGTTCATCATAAAGAGTCCCTCTTTCTCCATGAAGTCAGCCAACTGCTGGCCCCTTGGGTTCCGTTGCCCTATTCCAAATTTCCCTACTTTCAGCTCACCGTTCTCTCTTGTGCCTAGTTTTGCATTCAAGTCTCCCATTAACACCGTATATTGGGTTTTGCAGGAATGCATGGCTCTAGATATATCCTCATACATTTCCTCCACCTCCTGATCGGGGTGTGCCGAGGTTGGTGCGTAAACCTGTATGACCTTCAGCGAATACCGTTTGATGATTCTGAGTATAAGGTACACAACCCTCGTCGACACACTCTCAATCTTTACAACGTTGTTAACGAGAGACTTGTGGACGATAAATCCGACACCTCCTTGGGACAGATGGTCGCCCTCCCGGTAATAGAGCAAGTTGCCGGATTCGAGGATTACCGTGTCCTCCCCCTCTCTTCGGACTTCGGATAATCCTATAATATGCCAGCGTAACTTGTCTATCTCTTCTTCCAGCTCTACAATCTTCTCGTCAGTCCTCAGGGTGCGTGCGTTGTATGTTGCCAGGTCGAGTCGTCGTAGGTGGCAACCGAACCTCCACCGGAGATTCTTAGCACCCCCTGCCCCGCCGTTACCGTGGTCGCCACCGTAGCCAGGAATAGCGGGGCCGCCGGGGACTAGGGGCCGTTTATTATTGTCATTGCTCATGGGGGGTATACTGCCATAGTTGCCACGCTTGGCGAGCGGGTTGGCAACCGCAGTTTTTTTATTGTTATTTTGGCTATTATCAGGAAGATGCTGCTGCCCATCTCCTGCCTGTTTCCCTTTGTCGCCTTTTACGACACCCACGGGAAGATATGGGGTAGTGGATATTCTTAACCGCCACTACACGGCACTAACAGGGACACGGACACGGACATAATATATTTAAAATAAATTAGATTCCTTTTCTTTTCATTTTTGAAAATCATAGATATTTAGGAGTTTGCTTAATGATGAAAAAAATGATCTCCATGTAGCAACACAGATTAAAAAAGTTTAATGAAAAAAGTGACACACACGCCATAATGTAAATTGCCTTTTGATTTGGCGTTTGAGTTAAAAATTTAGCATTTTAATGCTAAAAGTTATATTTTTTAGTATATTAATGGCATTTAAAATGTCCCTTATTAATATTGGTAAGAAACTGATGGATGTAACAAAAGAGTTAATTGTTAAAATATCACCTTAAAGAATATTTAGGTTGGATGTTGGATCTAAAGAATCGAAGCCATTTCGTTCCGTTCCCATAAACGGTTTCAAAGATGATTGTTGTGTTATTTACCATATTTCGTCTGTTAATCGTGAAATATACGTATTGCTAAAAATAATGTAAGAATGGATGAATTGCTATCCCGTCGCCATAGTTCGTTTGTCCGTACAATCCACGAAGTCATTGGTGCTGTTGTTGTACATACAGTTCAGGGTGTATGAAATATCTGTCAACGGAATAGTTGATCGTCAAAATTTTGAGCTTGTCTGGGTTTTGCACTTCTAGTGTTTGATTATAAACATGATAAATAGTAAAGACGACGTGTACTGTTAGTTATGATTTAAACTTAACAATTTGTAAACAAATCGTGCGCCAAAGAAAAATTGTGTTTTAAAAGCGACTTCTTTTTCCTACTAATAATTCGTGTAAAAATTGTTAATATTTAAAGCATTACCCAGAGAAGTTTCCATAGTTAGTAATTGAGATTTATAAATAAATAATAAATAATCATGAATGTGTCAAAGTGAAAATAATATGTTAGTTACTTAGAAATATAATAGTTATTGTATTTATTGCATAATAAAAATTTCAGGCTAAGTGTTTGCAATGGCTCAGTATTATCAAATAGTTGGGCAAGGACATTCTTTGACTCTTGAGGATCTACAAAGATACTGTCCCAATATTATTGGTTTGGATGGAATAATAGTTAATCGGGAGGATCAGCAGTATGGGCAACAGAGAGTGAGATATACCTTTTGTTTTATTCATATTAATTTTCATTCTAAAACATACTACTAAAATTGGATTTCTTAATTAGGTTGTAGTGCAACAAGCAGATCAACCGAATGATATCATTGTAAGTGAAGGTGTACAACCTCAGTTAGTTGTTGGAGATGGCTTACAGTACCCACAACAATACATTATTCGCCATGAACCTCCTCCTCCACCTCCACGTGCAGATTTTCAAACCCAACAGCCACAGCAACAGCAGCAACAACCACAACAGACTTTGCATAGACACCAAGTGAGTAAAATATGTAATGCAATTAAAAATATACACTTTATAAGTGAAATTTTTATAATTAGTAGTGTTGTAATCTAATACAAAATCAGTTGTGTATATATGTTGTGTAAAACAACAAATATTTTTAAAGTTTTGATATTTATTCACAAAATAAGCTATAAATGTATTTAGGACTTATAAACCATTTATTTATAGGTATACTACACCTCTGATTTACCTGTGGATGCTCAGGTTGTGTTGCAACAGGCCCAACAGATCATTGATGCATCTTTGATGCAACAGTCATCACCTCAACGTCCACAACATGTATGTCCATTGACTGAATGTTTAGTACATAAGTCAAATGTCATGCACTGTAAGGCATGCTATACACATATTGATGTAGGCATATTATATTGGGTTAAATGTAGAACAAAAAAATATGATTAGAAGTAGATACACATGTTTGGCTTTCATTATTCATGTTTTCTAATATTGGATTGTCAAATGAGCCAAGAGTACACCTGGTGGTAAGTGACTACTGCTGTAAATGGATACCTGTAACTAATTTAATGTAAATAACTCTATAGATATATTGTTACCCTTGAGGACTAAGTTGAGATATCCTCACATTCTATAATTATACTGACTAATACCCTTTAAAATGAAACAGCAGCTAAAATCTGGATGCTGTTTTTCTCTAAAATAAGTAATAAGATTGTATCAATCCACATACACATTTTAGGCAAAAAAGGAGTGCAACCACATTCTACTAGATTAACTTGTTTGAATTTGCTCAGAACAATTCAGCCTTTCTTTGGATGTTTGTTCCTAGTTTAATAGTGTTTATAAAGGCAAACGACAAAACACAATTTGCATAACTCAACAGTTGATTCCTATTGCCAATTTGTAGATTAATTATGATTAATTAAACAAGTATGTGTATGGGCAAACCAAACAATCTTTTTAAACATTCATCTGGACATACTTTACTGGATACTGCCAACCTTAATATGTATATAGTATGCCTAACTACCAAATAAATTAGGTGATAGCAGCTTCAATTACAATACTTTGCTTAGCATGGATCTTTTACATTTTTGTTACTAACTTATGCTTGTTGGTTACTGTCAACACTTAAATAACACCATAATCATTTGCTATGGAAATTTAAAACTTGATCACATAGAGTGATTATTATTAGACTTGCAACAAATATTCAGCTATTGTTTAGTATTCAGCCTATTCGGCTACTTTTCGGCCGAATACCGAATACTTAAGTGAGATGTTTTATTTGTGTAGTCAGATAATTGGTGAAATGAAAATATTTATTTATTTTTTAATAATGTAAGTTTCTTGTAATCTTTGAAATCGTGATAGGTACACAGATTATAAAAATTAACAAAATAAATATTGATGCACTTGGATTATCGTAATTAAAATTTTGAAGTGGAAGATTATAGTGCAGAAAGACTAATTTTTCTGCATTTTCAGGCAGTAGTTTAGGCCTTTTCTTACTTACTTACTTACTTATCTTCACGCACAATCCCTGACGGGGTAGCCAGAGAGAACAGATTGCCAAGTGTCACGATGCTTACAAACCTCTTTCGCTTCTTTCAGATTCATTATCTTCTTCATGCATGCACGTCGAAGTATCCGAGTACTTTTGACCCTACCCTCTTCGAGCAATTTGCTCACATGGTCTTCGAAAGTTAGTCTCGGTCTACCTCGACACCTTTTAATATTAACTTTCGCGCTATATATTTTCTTCACCATTCGGTCTTCACTCATTCGCTCAACGTGCCCAAACCACCGAAGCACGCCCTTATCAATTTTTGTGATAAGGTCATCTTTCAAACCTGCCATATTGCGAATCTCTTCGTTTCGCTTTCGGTCGGCCATGGTAACGCCGCACATTTTACGAAGAGATCGCATCTCCACTGCATTCAACTTACTTTTATGCTTCTTCTGGCATACCCAGGTTTCGCTGCCATATAACAAAGTCGGTACCAACACTGCGTTATGTATTGCAAGGCGTGCACTCTTCGCTACGCCTTGCCTTTTGACTAACGCAGTCAGGGCACCATTGACTTTGTTCCCGGCAGCGACACGCCTGTCCACATCTAAATCACATCTTCCATCCCGGCTAAAAGCACTCCCCAAGTATACAATTTCATTTACCTGTTCTAGACATTCCTGATTTACCCATATTTCACACTTCGTTCTCTCTTCGTCCCTTTCAAATACCAGAACCTTAGTTTTATTAGCATTCAAACGGAGACCTTTAATTTCACATTCCTCTTTCATACACGTGATTAATGCCTGCAGTTCTGCCTCTGATGGTGCAATAAGCACTGCATCATCAGCATACAGCAGACAATTTACTTTAATGTCACCCAATTTCACACCCAAACAACTATCTTTCAGCTTCTTTAAACACCTGTCGAGATACAGTATGAACAGCCAGGAAGACATGACACAACCCTGATTTACGCCCGTTTGGACGTTAAACATGGGTGACAGGTCATGCCCTACCCGCACACAGGCTTTACAGTCACAGTAAAGAGACTGCACAGCCCTTAGCAATTGACCATCCACACCATACCCCGGCAACAGTTCCCACATTTTCTTCCTTACAACCTTATCAAATGCTTTCTCAAGATCCACAAAAGCACAGAAAATCTTCTGGTTAGCAGCCAGAAGCTTCTCCGTGATCATGCGGAGAGAAAACATTTGATCCGTGCATCCTCTTCCAGGTCTAAATCCGCATTGTGCCTCCCATAGAAATCTTTCCGATTTCTCTTGCATCCTACGTGTCAAAACCTTCGAGTAAACTTTACTTGCTAAACTGGTCAAGCTGATCGCCCGATAGCACCCGCAGTCAAAATGTGAACCTTTACCTTTATATAAAGGCACAATGACTGCGGATCGCCAATCATCCGGGACATCCCCCGTCCGCCAGCACAAATTGCACAGCAGATGAAAGCTGTCCCAGACGCGAGGCCCACCATACTTGACCATTTCAGCAGTAACTCTGTCTAGTCCCGCAGCCTTATCACATTTCAAACTTCGAATCGCACGTTCAATCTCTTTCATACTGATGACCTCAGTGTCATCGAGGTCCGGGTCTGGCGTACCAGTCACGGCGTCATCCCCGGATCCCTCACTAAGATCATCACAGGCATACATTTCTCTATAAAATTCGCTCCATCGCTGCATGACGTCCGATTTTTCTGTGAGGACGTCATTAGTTCTCGAAAGCACTTTGTTCATTCTTAAGGCCGTCGCACCACTTCGGGCCCTTCCAACCTCTTTCCAGAAGAGTTTGGAGTTCTCCTTCCTCAATCAGTGCTTTCGTGTGAACTTTCTGCAGCCTATATCTTTCTTTCATCTTCTCTCTCATATCCTTATCATTACTAGAGGCCAAGTAGTCTAACCATGCTTTCTTCTTCTTCTTTACAGCTTCTTTCACTTCATCATTCCACCATGCATCTCTTCTTTTACTACTGCCTCTTTTTATTGTTCCACACACTTCTTCCGCTGCACTTACCATTCCATCCCTAAGGTTCTGCCATGTTCTTTCTACACATTCTTTTCTGCCATCGATGGTGTCAAGCTTTTCGGCTACCCTCGCATGATATTTGTCCCTAGTATCCGCTTCCTGAAGCTTCCAGCTTCGGATGCGACAGACCGACTGTGGTTCTGTTACTGCCGTCCGGTAGCGCCAACCCGCGAACAGACCCCTAAATCTAGTAATCACTAGATAGTGATCCGTTCCCAGGTCAGCACCCCTGAACACTCGCGTATCCATCACCTGTTTTCGCAGTGGGTCATCCACCAGGAACAAATCGATCATACTTCTCTCATTCTTTCGTTCTCTAGTATACATATGGATTTTCTTGTGATTAAACATAGTGTTTGTCACAAGAAGACCCTTTTCCTTGCACACCGCCAGTATAAGCTTGCCAGCATCATTAACCCTTTTATCGCCACACTTTCCAAGTACCGACTCGTACCCTGGTCGAGCGGTACCAACCCATCCATTCAAATCACCACATACAACAATTCTTTCGTTTCCCCTAGCCAAATCTAGAACTTCTCTTACATTCTCCCAAAACTCCTCCAGCTCAGCCCTGGACGACGAAGCTACCGGCGCATAAACAGCCAAAAGGAATAACTTCGTCAGTCCCAATTTAAAGCGAACCCAGAGAAGTCTTGAGTTCACAACCTTATATTCAGTCATAACATCGACCAACCGAGAAGACAGTAGCACCCCCACTCCCTGGCAGGCGTTCTCGCTCTCCGGGACTCCGGACCATAAAGCTAACGCCCCGCCGGGGAGCTCTTCAGTACCACTGCCCTTCCGTTTGGTCTCCGACATACACACGACATCTAATTCTCTTTTTTTCATTATTTCGATCAACTCATTCGTCTTATCTCTCATGCCTCCTCTAACATTCCACGTGCCAACTCTGCACTCTGTCCTCCACCTTCCGCCGTGTCGGGCTGTGCGTGACGGGTGGCGGTCCCCATTGCCGCTTTGCACGCTGCATTCCACACCAACGGGGACGAGCTGGTGTGCGTCGCCTTGGGGGGACGCCCTAACCCTCGTTGGCATGGGTGCGCAGCTAGTAGAATTGCAGCCCTGAAAAGGGCTGGCAGGGGTCGCGACGAGCACGCTTCTACAATGACCCCCAATTACTAATTTTTCTGCATTTTCAGGCAGTAGTTTAGGCCTTTTCTTCTTGTAGACAATCATAGCTTCAGAGAAAAGCTTTTCTAAATCAACATTACTTACTTCCCAGCCGAATACTTTTGCATAATATTTGGCTACTTGGCCAGGAAGGTTGCAGAATATTCGATATTTGGCAAGTGATTGTATATACTATTCTTTGCAAGTCTATTAATTATAAAAACTTTTTAAGGTTAAACTATTATGTTATATTATCTTTTTATAGAGATTTTTAGTCTCAACTAAAGTAAGGTTTAAGCTAACTTTCTGGTTTTATAATTATGTACATACATACATACTATTTTGAAATTCGATTAGAAACAACTTTATCATTAATGTATTTCAAATATTTTTAGAAGATATTTGTTATTTATTTGTGCAATATAAGGAGTTTTACAGGAGTAAAACAGTTATTTGCATTAGATGCAAATAGTTCTGTGGAAATATGACATGCAGCCAAAACACTAAGCTACTGCTCCATTAAGTTGTCAAATTTTGTAATTAAGTGTAAAATACACCATGTACTTATAAGTTTAATAAGTATAATATAGTTTTTTGTTATTTATTTTAAATTTTCTTTTTTTTGTTTTTTTTTCAAATTTTATCATGTGTCAAATTAAAAATATTAAGTGAAAGTTAATAACTTTTTATTTTTATATGTTTTTACAAATTTTATTATTTCGATATTTTTTTCTGTAAACAGTTATTTTTGTTAAAATGGCTGCTATTTAGCTCCTTCGATATGTATATAGCAAAATATTGAAATGCATCAAATAATTCATGCCATAGACATCAGTTCTTGTTAAAAATCTGCTTATTTCTCTTTCTGTTTTGTATTTAAGAATATGATTTGCTTCGGTGTTGTGGTATTGCTTTGTTATATGAGTTAAGTTATAATGTCCTGTGTAGTGGCACCATAGTAGAATTCATTAATAAGTGGCGATAGAGGAAAACTGAAATAGCAGTTGGGCTACAGCCGCTTCCTAATAAACACTCAAAGTAATAAAAACTGCAGTTACCAACCCAACTTGGCAGGCAAGTATAGCAACTGTGGCAAATATTCCTCATATGAGGCAATTTATGGAGGAGGCCTGTGTTTAGCAGTTAACTTTTGTACTAGTACTACATATTATGAGTTAAGGAAGAGTGCTGAAGGATGTAATACTATATGAGAGGTCACCTAAGGTTATATTCTATATAATCTCCAAAAATGCACATTTCTCACCATGGAGATAGTGCCTTTAAACCATTGCAATTTCTGTTTTCTCTATCAAATGGTTCTTTATTTCCATTTTCACCTCACTTTTATCGGCTCTTTTTCCAGAATAACTCCTTATAAAATTTTGAGAAAAAGAAAAGTCTTACTCCTGATCCGGACTATTTTGTTAGTGGTAAATGTCTAAAAACCATGTGTCTTTTAAAGCATATCTTGAATCACAAACAGTAAAGACTGATGCATTGACTTGTAGAAACAGCCCAACATGCACTCATTTGCGTCACTTTTATATAACTGCCTCAGTTACCTGACCCAATAGCTTAGTATGTCAATTCCCTTGTTGTCCCAGAAAATTGTTGCCTATTATTTTATCGCCGATTGTTCCACTTTGAATTTCTTCCGTAGTCCTTCTCTTTTTTATCCATTGGATTGATTCTTGTTTAGACTATCCAGTTACTAATTTCATCCAAATTGTTTACACACAATTTCAAAAGATCAGAAAAGTGGAGATGGACAGGTCACATGATGCGTGATCCACAAGAGAAGTGGTGCAAAACTTTTACTGACTGGTATCCCAGAGATGGCAAAAGAAGTAGAGGATGCCAACAAACAAGATGGGAAGATGACTGGACATCATTGGAGAAGGGTAGCGCGGGACAGGTCCCAGTGAAAAATGTTAGTGGAGGCCTATGCCAAAAGGCAAACTGAGCTTTGGGACATATTATAACAAACAAGAACATGTATTCATATTTAACCAAGAAGTGCAGAATAAAAAAGGCTTATTATTATTATTATAATATCAGTACACTTCTCTACTTTTGGACGTTTTCTTTGGTCACTACTGTCCCTGTTAACCCCGGATGGGGATCATCTTTTCAAGTCCCATTTCCATGTTTAAATAAGTGAGCCCTTTTTTTATGAAGAAGCAAGAATTTTGAAGAATAGATGACATACCTTCAAATTTTCTTTTGGTGTATTTCCATATTAACAAGATTTTTCATTATGGCACAATGCTCCAAATTGCGATAATTTTCCAGAAATTAGGGTTTAATGAACAAAATAAAAAAACAGGTGTTATTTATACTACCACAAAGTCACACAATTAGTACTACATTAGACCGCGAACTTTCAGTCGCCCCTCGCACTTTAATGTACTGTCTCACATAATATGTACCATTATAGATATCATGTGTTCTTAAAAGGGTTCTGCATTTTAATCCTCTTTCAATCCTTTTCAAATTGTTATACTTTCAACCCTGTATCAGATATCATTACTTGTATTGTTTCAAAGTGGTCACTGTAAACCAAAAAGGTCATAACCGCAAAGTTATAATATGAATGCAATCTATTTTAAAATGCTTTCTCAGTAACACTTATGTTATTTTGCAGCAACTTGTAAGTCCAGCGCATGTATTATCACAACCTACAGTGATACACCCAGCACAACAGCCACCGCCTCAACCTCCACCTCCACCACCGGCTCAACATGGTCAACCTCAAAATGTTTGTATAAAATATACTTATAAATATTCGTATTAGATCATTACATGATCATATTAGATCATCTGCATGTAATATCAAATGCATATAGTAAGTGGTGCAGATTGATTCATTTTAGATAATGTTTCTAAATCATATTTTACTAAACTGGTTTTCAAAATTGTTATGGATAAAAAATCATCCATTTATCCATTATAGCCCTTAAAAAGTCCCCTGCTGATTATAGGCTTCCTCCATAAATATCTCATAGAAGACATTTTGCCATAGTTACCAAGCTTGGTAGGCGGTTTGGCAACCATAGTTTTACCACTTGTCGGTCAATGGTTCTCTCAATTTAGCATTCTGCCACTTACTTTTGCAGCAAAATTTGCTTTGTACTCTTTTTCTCATTCATTCTTTCCACGTGTTTAAAACACCGAAGCATTCCTTTTTTAACCTGGTCACAACATCTTGCACATTACACTTATCTCTTATCACAATATCGCATATTATCATCATCCAAAAATAATTTAAATTTGAAAATTTAGGGTAACAAAGGGTGCTCTCAAGCGTCCTTGAAGGCTTCTCTACAACACTCATGATTGACTAGAACGGCATATAGTCTCATTGAGCCACCCACAATTAATTTAGAAAAGAAAATAAAAATTGCAAAAAACGCTGCTATAATTTCCATTTTTTTTTATCAACTTAAAATAATGTTTTTTAATGAAATATTGAATGGCATGCAAAATAAAGTCACGGAAATTATAACAGCGTTTTTTGCAATTTTCGTCATGCATGCCACTACTTTACAACTTCCTGTTGTGCATGCCAAATTTGCTAACGTCAATAAATTATAAAAATTAAGTATTGTTCAAATGGCATGCAGTTTGAAATCACGAAAAGTTGTATTGAATTTTCACAACATTTTCCTAATATTTTCCACCCTTGGTCATGCCAGGGGTGCATGCCAATTTTCGTAGGGTATTTTTGAGATAAAAAAAAACAAATTTTTTACAACGGCATGCAATTTGTAAACACGGAAATATTCTATTTTTTTTTCATTTCTTCGTAACCCTTTGAGCCCCGGCGGCCGTTGCGAATTGCATGCCATCAATTATTATAGCTTAAATTTGTTCCAACTACGTTATATTACAAAGGCATGCAATATAATGTCACGGAAAAATACTAAAATTCTTTACACAAAGAGAAGCCATTTTCTTTATGACGTGCAACCGCGCAAGGGCTCGTAACATCTCTATCTTTCATATTTTAGGGTTAGTTATCAATTCTTAAAAAGGCATGCAGGAGAAAATGGGAGACTATTTTCTGTCACCATCTTCCGATCTATAAACGTTGCCGTCTTTTGACAAAATAAAACAAATACCTATATACCCTCTTACATTAATATTTTGTATTAGTTTTACTTTTTATACGCTTGCAACTTTTGGTAATATATAAATATTTTTATTATTAATATCACAAGAATACATATCACGGTGAGCAGATGCTAAACTTTAAAGGATACCATATTATTGGCTGTTCGTGGAGTTGTTGTATGTTTTATTATATTTTCGATGTTTTTAAATCACCTAAACCAATTTCCGTCATTCATTGGCTTTATTGCAGCAGCAGCAGCAACAACAGCAGCAGCAACAAATTTCAAGGGCCTCTCCTCAACTCCTACAACACTTGCAGCAACAGCATCAACAACAAATCCATTTGCAACAGCTTCAGCAGCAGCAGCAGCAGCTCCAACATCAGCTACAGCAACAGCACCTACAGCCACAGCAAATACAACATCAACAAGTTGTTATGCATGCTGCTTACATCAACCAACAGGTTTGTTTAATATTTTGACTTGATGAGATAATTTTTTTTATTATATTTTTGTTTTAAGTTTGTTTGTATGCAAATTGTTGTTGTTATTGTATGTGTAATATTTATATATCTTCAGTAACTTTAAAATTTTATTTGTAAAACCATTGAAATAATTAATTGGCAAAGCTATTTGAAATATCAAAGTCATAATTTTATAACAAAACAATTTTCTTCCGTATTGTGGAGGCGGTATACATACATGAATTGCACAAGGACTCACATCCACACCCAGAACAATTATTTGTAGCCCTGACAATTAAAATTATTTGTGACACTTGTTCCATCCAGGATATAAATTATTTTTATTTGAAAAAAAAAATACTTTTAAAATTAATGGTGCCTCAATAAAATTTAATGTTTCTTTATAAATAGAAATACAAGAGTAAAAAATATCATTTTAAATTTATAAATATAATGAAAAAGAAAAAAAAACGGAACATTTTTTGAAAATTCACTCAAATTCACTTATCTTTTTAATTATTTGATAAGTTATTTTTTTAATTTTAGGGTACACCAACTCGTCAACCTGCGCCACGACTTCTCAATCAAACCCTCAATCCTGGTGGCGTCACCTTAGTACGCACGCCAGTTAGAACTGTTAGACCTCGCCGACCCCCTGTGCGGGCATCGCTAGCGAGCCCGGCCGCCCTCCAAGTTCCTGCTCGACTACTTAACCCACAACATCAGCAGGTTAATATATTATTAATTATATATTACTATCATTTATTTATATCCCTGTGTTATTTTATGATATTTTAAAGCGTCAGTATTCTATTGGTACATGATGCAATCTCTGAAATGACCAACGTAACACAACATTGCCTAATTAATTGGTCAATTTGCATGTTTCACATTGTCAGCCATTTTTATATTCCATAGAAATTGTACTTTATATTAATTAACTTATTGTTACTAATCATACCAATCTGCCTACTATGATACTATAGTTTGTTTAGTTTAATTTGCAACAGGTTATTCTCCGCAATTCCATGTCTAAAACAGGTATTTTGCATGCTTAGCTTTGCATGTTGCGACCTTCATACACACCAGTGTCTGAACAGAGGAATGTCTGTAACACCTATGATGACGAAAAAGCTTGTTAAAAGAACACATCCATTGATAGACATGCTACTATCCTAATCTGTGGTTTGTTCGTTAGCACCTTGGATGTACGACCATTGATATCGGGCAGGCGCTTCCTTAGCTTGCCTGCAATCTTCCTAATTTTTCTAAAGCTGAGAGTGTTGATTAGTGTTTACGTAGCAGTGAACATACACACCCAAAGGGAATCAGTATGATTGGCTCTGGTGTTACAATACCTAGAGCCCATTTTCTTCTAGCCAGTTTGTCAGTTGCGTCGTTGCCCCTGGATTCACTATGGCTATTGATCCATTATAAGGTTACATTGGTGTATTTACATGCCTCATGTAGGCATTTATGTAATTCGTGTATTAACCCTGAGTTCATCATATTGCTTCTGAGAGCTTGAAGTAATGTAATGCTATCAGTCAGTACTCAGATGGAGTGGTTATTTACCATTCTAGCATAATATATTGCTATCGCCGCCTGAATTATACCCATACATTTACTACGAAAACCTTATTATGGGTACCTAGCAGTGCTATGGTATATATGCTGTAATACAGTGCAAACTAGTACGGAGGGTAGAACATTAACTGTTTCTTTACGTATTCTTACTAATTTATATATTTTCTACATTAAAACTTATTCAAGCTGCATTTCCATTTCCTACTAATATTTTCATAACATCGTCACTCTGAAGATTAACTGGCTTGATATCGCAATCTGAAGTTGCACATAATCGGCAAAACTACTGTTTCAAAACGAGGTTCCTCTGTTCGGAAAAGAAATGGCTATAATATTCTTAAGCAAAAATGAAAAGATAGACTCATAGGTTATCAAAGTATGTTCTATAATAAAATTATCCAACCAAAAAAAAAAACACGCAAAATTAAGATCAGTAAATGTGATGTCGATGTTAAATAATGCTATGGCCATGTTAAATAATGTGTTATTTAACATGGCCATAACACGTACACGCCCCTAGCTGCCCCAACCAAGGATGACGGGATTAGGGCCCATGAGTAATCCCATCGACGAGCAGCAGAGGGACGGGGCCAGAATATGGCCACGTGGAATTTCCTAATTACAATAAACAATATGGGAGAAAGCTAGAAACACGTAGTACTTACCATTATCCGAAGCTAACTTCGCACCAGGGCTTGGGTAGGCCGTGAGTGTGTGTAATAGTGGATGGCGAGTAGTGTACAGTGAGGTGTGAATGCGTGGGGCCTTGGCAAGCATAGGCGACCAGCAGCGGCCGAGTTCCAAGCTGCTCCAAATTGAGGTCTTCCGCGGCGTTGTCCACAGTCACCTTCCTCGTTCGTCACGATGACAGTCCATTAAATCTATCGTACGATTAACTAACTTACAGAAGCCACTAACTCTCGTTTGTCATAAGGTTAACGCACAAAACGAACACGGAGCGTCCGGATCAAAGGTCACTACCGTTTCGCATAGCAACAGTTATTTCTAGAATATCAAAGGCCGCACTAGATAATATTGTCTTATGCACCTATACAGATTCCGAGTCAAACCCAATGAGTCCCGGGGAAGCTCTACAGCAAGGAATACGCGTCACAAATCCTAGACAGTACATTTACGAGCCGCGCCTAATTATTCCGAGTTCCCGAGAAAAAAAATAACAGCGTGCTGTCCCGAGCACAGCTGGCAGACTAGACTCTTTCGCCTTTACGCGTTCTCAACCCACCGCTCGGCCGACGTCAAAACCGGTATGGCACCGAGCCGTGCGCCCTCTCGCATTAGTTCCTGAAATTAGAGTTTGGCGCGAACTAATCTAGTTTAAGTCTAATTAGTTTATCTGTTCAAATATATATATCTTATTTCTTAGTTAGGTCGGCTCGACCGGCAGGACCACGCTCTCATAAAATACCAGCGTAAAATAGAAGCTTAACGCTACTGTGTTCTATTCTCACCATACGATACATCGTATGGTGAGAATAGAGAATTGGAGACCTTTTTTATTGGAAACGAGGTATTCCAGTCCTCAGGGGGTCTCAGGGATAATGTCTATGGACCACAGCATCCACTTACCATCAGATGGCCTGTGTTCTCGTTTGTCCTTCTTGTTCCATATAAAAAATTAGTGTACACACATACGAAGTGAAACTTCTTTACGACATCGTTCTCGTTGTATTTTATACTAGCTGTTCCCCGCGACTTCGTTCGCGTGTTAGGATTTTTATGTTTCTGCGCGGAACCCTGATTCTTTTTCTAAAATAAAAGTAGCCTAAGTTACTCCTTATGAAATCAGCTATCTGCCAGTGAAAGTCCCGTCAAAATCGGTCCAGCCGTTTCGGAGATTACCCGGAACAAACAGACAGACAGACAAAAATTTTAAAAATTGTATTTTAGTTATAGGTATCGTATTTACTTTCATATGCATTTAGTAAAAAACTGTAATTTTGACATTACAAACAGACACTTCAATTTTATTTATTTGTATAGATTTGTATAGATTTGCATAAGTCGATTAAATAATAGTATAGTCATGTATCCCCGGCGGTGAAACGTTACAAGGAAACGCGACGTCATAATTTATATTTAATACTGTACTCAATTTCTTCACTACGTCGATAAAGAATTGTCACTTCAAAAAAGTTAAAGTGAATCAGAGCAAACTAGTCCGCCCAATAACGCGTAGAGCTAAAAGCCGTGGCGACTTGTTTACGTTTTGATTGGTTTGAACAGACGCAAGGCGGCAGCGTGCGCGGCGCGTCGCCGGCGGGCGCGTCGGGGGTGGCGAGCGCGGTGGGGGCGGGGGCGGGCGCGGTGCGCGCGCGCGGCGCTCGGGCGGGCTCGCCGCGCGTGCTCAACCCGCACGCTGCGCACGCGCAGCACCGCCCACCGCGCCCGCGCACGCCGCTCACACAGGTTACCTTTTTACACTTCTTCATACCTTTATCATTCACACCCTTATAATTTTGTTTTTCTCTTTTTAGTTTTTAATGTCAGGTTGTCAGAGTATCGTATTTAGACACGACTGACGCCCGAGAGTTGATACTTCAAAGTAATGTGCGCGTACATGTAATTCTTAATCGAATGTTATTTTAAAATACTTTAGAATAATCGAGATAAAAAAATATAATTTATTAATCACTGGAAAAAACACATTCTAGAACTTGTTTTTAAGTGATAACCATAAAATAGTTTTTGAAATTATGAAAGGCATGTTATTTTAAGGCACTTTATCAGCTACATTGTTATTTATTTCCTGATAATAAGGAAAAACGTCACAACAAAGTAATTTTTTGTCTACCTAATATCACACGCTTACTTCGTGCTGGACAAATATGCATGCAGCAGCCTTTGAAGCATTTTAACATTGGAAATCCTCGCTTTAGAAAAGGAATTCGGGTGGCGTTTGGTCTATATAAACAAATTCCTCTGTTTTCTTTCTAGATTATGACACTAGAACAAGTTTTTTTTAAATACGATTTCCATTCATTCCATTACAATGCCATGTTCCCCTTTTTTTTCATCAATTATTTTAAAAACCAGGATCCTTCTCGAAATTGGTTTAATTAGTCCAATGCCTTGAGCACATAAATATAACAAGCATAAAAAATTAAAGAAAAGCAAAACCAAGCTCTTATTCTGTGTAAACCTGACTGTGACAGTCTGACTTATCCATAGTGTATGTCGTCATAGGCATTTCATAAAAAAGAAAACTATGCTTAAGCATTACATGTTTTTATTCATCATCAGATATAATATCATCACTGTCACTGTTAGTAACATTTATTATAAACTTGTCTGAGACACTCGATCATGTGGTCGAGATTAAACATTTTGATAGGTACTCCAAGAGAAGTTCGGTAAATCTGGGTCATCATTAACAACCTTAAGAATCTGTAATTTAAACAGATTATCGGTAAGAAAGTCTACGCAATAGAAAAAAGTTAAATAGAACCTCAAAAAAACGCTGTGTGCGTGAGCGTGTTAATATTCAGCTTTGATTTGTGTGTTAGTGACGCGACAGTCGTCGTCACGCACACTGTATCTATAACAAGCTTTACGCACACATAGCGCCGCGCGCAAAGATGAAAAAATAATACTAAAGTTACCTTTGCAATGGTGGGTGCATAATTTGCAAAAAAAATTGGTGTACTTTTCGCCTTATAGTCGCTAAGATGAAATCGTCTAATTTATTCTTGAAATTATGTTTCGGTCCAAGTTTTTCAGAAGACTTAAATTGCTCGTTTTGTGGTTATACCGATTCCCAAAATTTCAGCTGTCTTATAAACAGTTTACCAATCCGCCTACAAAGCGCAAGTAGTGGGCGATACAAACCGCATATAGATACAATATCTATACATCTGTATATCTGAGAATATTTAAAATCGATATATCGGGCAACGGACTAGCTATGTATTAGATACTGATACCCATTTACATGATTCAATAATTGCTCAGAAAATGGCTTCTTGTACATACGAGAGCAATTATTGAATGCAATTAAATAAGCGCAACAATTGCCATTCAAGAATTGTAAGCAACTGTTTACACGCGGATGACTGAATGCGATTATTAAATGCAAGTCTTGACAAGAGATAATTGCTAGTCTTTTCTTTAAACCAAGGCAATTATGTATAGGAGATAATTGCTTTCAAGTTTTGAATTGTCGAAATACAGCCTTGTACAGCAATTTTTGACGTGTTGCTTCAAGTATTGCACGTATTTGCATTGGCGAATATTTGATTCCGGTTTAGAACGTTTTAGAAGAGAATAGTTTATTAAAAAATGAGTCAAAAAATGTTAAAATTCGGTTCTGCTGATTTAATGAAATTAATTGAGATTTATCAAAGTCATGAGTGGCATGCCGATTTATAGTTATCGAAATATAAAGATTCAATATCAGATATAGAAATCCAATACAAAGATACGATTTGATATAAGGTAAAAGTGGTATAACTTACAAATACCTACTAAGCTTGGCGCTTACGCCAAATAGTTTCTGCAATACGAATTGGTAAAGAAGAAAATATATATATAAAGTAGTAACACATATGGCGCATATAAGTGTTCCATTCCTTGGAAATCAGTAAAACTGTCTACTTTAAATCAACTTACTATTAGGTAGACTGTGTGTTGGTTTATCATTCTTATTCTATTTTAAAAAAAAAGTCCGATTTCATTTTTAAATTAAACAAAATTAATAATAAAAATTGGTAATATTAATTATTATTATTCCTATTTATAGCCCCAGCAACATCATTTAGCGCAACATGTCATCAATCAACAAGTCCACCAGCAGCAAGTTCATCAACAAATTAATCAACTAAAACTCACAACACAGCAAGTACGTCTGCCTGATAACCAATGCAATAATTCATATTCTAAATATTTTATTTTATTATTATTTCCATTTGTTACAGCAACAACTTCTCCTCAATCAACAGAACCAAGGCCTTTCACAGCCTACGCGAATTATCACACAACAGGGTACGATTGTGACACAAGGATTACAAACACAGATGCCTCAGCATACTGTTGTGCAAACTAATCAGAATAATGGACCCCTACCCCAACAGAACACATTAAACGCGACGGCGCAGAGAGCTTCCCCACATCCACAAGTACAGCAGCAGCAAGCTAAGAAGGTTGTTGTTCAACCGAATAATGCAAGTGATATGGACGATCTCGAAGAAAGTATTACAGCGGCGATAGTTCAAAAACATCCCGTCAGTGAGAATATTGGCTCGCCACAGCAGTTTCACACTCCCCCACCTCAGAATATCAGACAGAACCCCGCAAGTGCAACTGTCTCACAACAACATCAATTAACATTCAGTCCACAACATTTTCAACAACAACCACCACCACAACCACAACAACAACAGCAGACGACATTTGAACAAACTCACATACAACATCCACCAACACTTACTCAGTTGTTAATGGAGTCAGATAACTCTGAAGAGCAAAGGCAAGTGGTGACATTCTCTAATGGTCAGCGAATAACACTTGCTGAGTATAAACGATTGCATCAACCTGTACGATCAGCACAGCAACTGGTACAACAGCAGCAGCAACAGCAACAACCTCCACAACAACAACAACAACAACAGCCAAGGTAAGATAATATTTCTCTTTTTATTAATTTATCTTTCAACTGTATATTTTCCAACCTTTATCTCATAAGTAAGTATATACTAGTGTAAACAGATGTTTATTTAATGAATCATGCCCTGTTTGGCATTGATCAAATTAAATGAACTCATATATTGCAAACTATTCCATATAATATTTTCTATGACATATTATTATATTTTTACATGATAAAGCCATGCTGCAGCTATATTATCGTTGCAGCACGAATGGGTCAGCTGTACGGGAGGTAGGACCATACTCTCACAAAATACCAGCGTAAAATAGCAGCTTAATGCTGCTATTTTTCGTATGGTGAGTGTAGAGAACCGGAGACCCTTTTTACTTGAAATAAGGCAGTTCTCACGGGTGATAACGACAAGACACATAATGCTTATAATTATGAGGCAAAGCGTAGATACTTTAGAAGTTGTTGTATGTATATAATACTGATAATATTTTGTATCTCAATAGAGAAACTGCACGTCAAACATTAGTTCGAAGCAAAGAACAGCCCCGACCTGTCCAACGAGTATCACCCATGCAAACTCAGCAGCAGTCAATTCACTCTGGTATGTAATGTTTTTAAAGAAAATAACATTCACTAACTTACGAGTTAATTCTTTGATTGTATGTTTACAGACAACAATGAATCAACAAGTGGACCATCGGAACAAACATCTGAACCACAGTCTGCAAAAATGTTAATATTTCTTCAAAATGGAGAGCAGAGACTTATAACATTTACTTTACCCAAAGAGAGCTGTACCCTTCAAGAAGTTCTTGAACAGGTATATTTATTATGAACTGGGTAATATCACAGAATAAATAATAGTACAAGAACAGAAGGATCAGTATGATAGCAAACTTACAAGTTTAAATCTAGTTACAACGTCGCTAATGTTCATTATACTTTGCATGCCTCGGATACGACCTTGGTTAAAATAGCTTACCGATTAAATCGTCGAAAAAAAATTAATGCGGCGCGCGTATTATATCAAAATGCACAGTCAGTATCACTTAGCCCGTTACGCGCCTTTATTAAGGTACCCTCCTACTGTAGGGTTAGGTGTTGTGAGAAAACAAATTGAATTCTTTGATATAGAATACACTGAGGTGTGCAATGTATCAGTAATTTGCTAATAAGAACATTATTGTTCAATGTGAGGAAGGTTAACATGCAACATCGAGAAAAATTTATATTATAACCACGTGAACGTTTTTGAAACTCAGATAATTTACCTACTTACCATTTTTACCCGACTTCAAAAAAAGAGGAGGTCATCAATTTGACTGTATTTTTGATGTGTGTTAGCTCAGAATTTTTTTCTAGGTAAACCGATTTTGATGATTTTTTTATATGAAAGCTGGTGCTTATAATTTATATATCCCATATAAATTTGATCAAGATCTGACCAGTATTGGAGTTATCCTTAATAATGAGTATTGATATTGAAGTCGGTTGTACAAAATTTTATAATTTCATTAGTTGCCTCTCTTTTTCTCTTTTTAAATAACGTTACCTCCACACTTGAATTTTCTCCTGTATCGCGGGGGCAGTTTACATACATAGATTTCAGAAGGACAAACATCCGAACCCAGAACAATTATTTGTAGGCCATACAAATACTTGTTCCGTCCGGGATTCGAACCCGCGGCCCTTAGCGCTGCAACTCATTACTAAGCCACTGCCACGGAGCGGTCACTTGTCTGTTTCACATTTTTTGCTATTTACAAACATGCGACACGCGACTTCGTTATTAATGAAAGAGTGGCAATGAGAAGTGCTGCTATTTTCAATCTCTTTCTTTTATCGACCAAGTGTTAAACTAATAACCAGTATTTGCTGATCTTGCATTAGTAGGCAGTCACTGGTACTGGGAGGTCTACTTACACTAAAACATTTTTAAAGTCATTGGCATTATACGCGAAAAAATCGAAAACTGTGAAGCTGTGGTCGGGTAACTAGCTAATCAAATAATAAATCTGTACCTATGACGTCAGTAACTAGGTACCTAATTATATAGATCTACCTATAAATAATAATATTTTACATTTCAGTATCCTTAGAAACAGTAAAGAATGAAAAGTTGACATTCCTATTGTTATTTAAGCACCCGCATGCTATGTAGTACCTTTTGGCATTTTGAGTGGCCATACTTGAATTAAACTTGAATAAAAACTCAAAAATAAATAACAAAGGTGCCTAAATACTTATAAGAGAAAAATACTTTTTTGTTAACGTAAGGCGCGTGTCAGCTAGAGCGCGAGCGTGACAACATCACGAAATTAGCCCCTTGTTTGGGGCCGCGCAGCGTAGGTATATTTTCATGTCTAAAACGTGGAGTGAGACAGGCCTGGTAATATGCAATATAATGCAATGTGTAAATATTATTATATTTATAATATTACTTTAATCTTTTTAATATTATCTTCAGCTCTGAATATAACAATTTTTTGCTTTTAATGTAGTACTTTTTTAGGTTAATGTTCCATTTTCGGAAGATACCCATATACAATGTATGCAAAACACAAGCAGTGAAATAGACTACTTTGTCTCAGTGGGTTCTACAACAAGAATAGAAGAAATGTTGGAAAATCATCCCGTAAGTGAATTTTTTTTCAATATTGTTGTCAATTATTAATTAATCGTCAGACTTTTCCGTAATATAATATTTTTTTACAGATGTTAGTTGGTGATATAAGTAGTAGGAGCTCCCCTAGTTTATTATCTCAACAACAAAGTAGTGAAATGTCGACACCAGAAAAAAGTCAATGTCCTGAAAATGGTAAGTGATCTTTAAAAAAATTATATTTTAAAATTTTCTTGTATGTCTAGAACTAACGGCATAGATGTTTTTCTGAAATCAATTTTGCTGAAAATATTATAATGTCACAATAAACAGTTTGTCCCAAAAAGTATTCAAGATAGTACCGGGCGAGAGGGCAGGTTTTACCGGTTCTCATATAATTAAGAAAAACCTGTCAGTTAAGATAACAGATATGTTTTGAAAATGTTGAAAATTAGCAACTTTAGGTATTATGATAACATATTTGTAATAAATCAATTGTCGTGAAATATTTTGAAGTGAAGTCGAGTCGATGTGATTTGAAACTTGATGAAACGAATAAGGGACACTAAAAAGAGACAAACATATACACCATCACAGGATTTAGCTTTGTGAGAGGCTAAGATAGAATATACAATATATAGTGTTTCCTATTATCTCGGTCTCCTCTTTGTGCGGTGCTTTAAAGATGATTAATACAGGTTTTAAATGTTAAAATAAACTTACTTATTAAGTATCAAAATTAGACAGACATGTAAAGACCGCCAACACGCACTGGGGCAGCGCGGCGGACATTTGCCCTAAAACGTTTTCAGGCGTGAGAGGAGGCCTGTGCCCAGCAGTGGCACGTATATAGGCTATAACTTTACTTTTGCTTAATCAAACTTCATTTTTTTACTAAACTTAATCACAAGATCTAGTAACATGGATTTTATTTTCTTATTTTTGCCAGAACTGGTATATTCTGGACACATGTATAAAGTGGTTTTGACCGGTTATAAGTTTTGACTGTAACATATAATTATAATTATTTCCCTAAATTATTATCTAGATAGATAGTTATATTATTAGATCATGCTCGTATCATAGTTATATACCTAGTAAGACCATTATAAACCACTTTCATATAACGAGTAAGCTCGTCTTGACGGGCTTGTAGCTTTATGCGTAAACTGCGGAGTGCGCCTGGCATGTTCACACTTATATATTTATCAAAAGATTGGAGATGAATTATGACTGTAATAAATTATGTGAATTATATATATTAAGTGGCCACTTAGTAGTCATGATGTCTGAGCATTAAGTCACTTGGTGTACACGTAAATTGTTAAGCGTGACTGTGTCCTGCGGATTCCAATCCCACCTGGAATAAATATTTGTGCCCGAAACAAATAATTCTTCCAGGTTTGGTTTTTCCACGTTTGGTTTTTCCACGTGCAAACTGTGTAAGGAAAACGCCTAAATGGCAAGTGATCAACTAGTGTGTGTGGCGGGAGGGTCTTTACCTTTTTAAAAATAGAAAAATATGTTAATTCTGCTAATACACATAATTTGTGTATGATGGGATATTTTTTAAAGGAATTTAAAATTTTGCAGTAGTTAATAGTCCAGAATCTCCAGAGCAGAGATCGCCACCGCCGCGATATGTCGATGGCATGTTGGCGGTTTGCAAATCCTGTGGTTACACTGGATTTGATTTCAGTCGTTGCCAAAGGTAATTTATTAAAACTCGTAAATTTATGTTTTTTTTTTTATTTGTGATAAGTTTGACAGTATACGTTAATTCTTTAATTTAATCTTCTTTCTTTGATAAGTAAAATTTTATTTCAGGTGTAAAAGAGTATTTACAGAAGAACCTAAGAGTGTACCCATAGCTAGTAAAAAAGTGGAACAAAAGAAAAAAGAACCAGAAAAAACAACTTTGGATAAACAGATGTAAGAACATTGCTTATTATTTTTTTTTATAAAACTGAAGTGACCAACGAGCTTAGTCAACCTGATAGTAAGTAGTTACTGCAGTCCATGGACTCCTGCAGCCATCTTCAAACAAAGAAGGCTACATATGCACTGTCACCCTAAGGACTAAGATGGAATGTCTCACAACCAGACCAGAACACAGGAGCGCAGGTTGGCGGCAGAAATAGATGAGAGGGTGGTATCTATCCAGATGGAGACCTAGGAAAAAAGAAATCCTACTACCACTTAAGAAATAGTTGCAATGTGTATAGAAAACTTTTAACATAAAAACCTCTTGCAACACCTTTAGACTGCACTCCTCCATTTTTCGGGCTCGCTTTTCCGTATATTTTTCATCGTTTCCCATAGTTGTCCTGCGCAAGTACATCATTATACAATTATCTTTCACTTGAAGCTACATGGTAGTAAACACATGAAAATACTTATTACAAACCAAACCATTTTAAATGTAACCTTTAATAAAATATATAAAATAATTTACTTGATATCTTTACTTCTTTTTCTGTCAGTCTGTAAAGTTGAACGCACATTTGTCAGCACCGTACGCGCCGCATTTAGTGATGGCCCTGCACATTTGCACGTACGCGCCGTACGCAAATCTTTTGTATTGCCAACAATTTTGCAGTTTTTTCCAACCACTTGTGTGAAACGGTAAAGTGACTTTGATCACTCGGATCGCTATGGAAAAATTGTAATTGCCTGCTTATTGGCAGAGGTAGAAGAAAATAAAATTTGAAGGTAAAAAGAAGATTCTGGATTCACAATATTAATTTAAAAAGGCATTTGTATGGAGAATATTATAGTTTATTTAAAGGGTTATTAGATAATGATGAACTTAAGATATTTTCAGATATTTGCATTTGACATACAAGACATTTCATGAATTGTTACATATACTAAAACCTATATAAAATATATTTTGAAAAGGAAGTCGAAACCACCAGATTTAGTGGAAAATCCGCTAAATTGGCAACATTAGACAAAACTGAGTAATAGCACGCGCCGAACGCGCTGCGTTATGTGACGTCATCAGCATGCCTCCTTCAATATTTGGATACCTACCGCATTTTATAAAATTCGGCTCATACGGTGCGACTGCAATGTGCGAGATTTCATATGATTCCATACAACGAATTCTAAAATTACGGTGCGACTGCAATGTGCGAGATTTCATATGATTCCATACAACGAATTCTAAAATTCGGCGCGTACGTCGCGTACGGTGCTGACAAATGTGCGTTCAGCTTAAAGCAGAGTTCGATCTAACATTGAAGGGTTTTGAACTTATGCTCTGGTCTTTCTAAGTCAGGTTGAAAGGCCAACAACAATATGTTTTCTTTAGCCATACATTAAATTGTACAGCCAAAGCCTAGGTAAATGTGAAGTTGTTTTGTTTAAAAAATTTTAACTTGTCATTTTTTTTACAGCTCAAGTAGTGAAGGTATTAAATTAAATTTATTGAAGACAACAGTGAAAACAATTAACAATAAAACTGTAAGTTGTAAAATAATATGTTATTTTTATTTTCTCTACAGTTTGGGATGTTATATATATATATATATGTTTAAAGTTTAGCAATAAAACATTTCAATTACTATCTGTGTCCTCAACTCCTGATATGTAGATTGTATATTCTGCCAAATTATGCGGAGGATTTTTTATATTTGAAATTCTTATTGTTTTTGTAATGGCTCTATTAATTTAGAATGCTTTACAATTATTTTGATAAATATTATATTATCATCTTAGTATTATCATAGTTCCATTTCGACTTTTGTTTTTATAGCATGATACATAATAAAGATTTTTTACTTAGTATTTTAATGATTATTTTAACAATTAACAAATTTAATTAATTTCTAACACAGTTTTCTTTATCTTTAATTATTAAAACGTAGCCCTCACAGGACAAAAAACCAGGAAGAGTGAGAAAGCCAAGGGGCAAGCAGCCAGACCCTGAGCCAGTCATATTAACACTGAGCTCTGATGAGGAAGACTCCAACAGTTCCATGCTCAGTAATCAGGTTAGTACTAGATCTATTCCATAATTTCTTCCAAAGATAAGCGAGATGTACATGCGCACGCGCATTAGAATCTAACTATTATAACCTCAACGTGTTATATCTTATTGTTAGAAATTACTCTCAAAATTATTTAGTTGTTAGGTACTGACTGAGATATTTTGGGTCCACTCGACCGCAAAGTGTAGCATAACAACTAATACATAATGCCTCAATGTTTGGGGAGGCATATGTAGAAGGCACGTACGGAGCTACACATAATAGAAATCGTGTTTTTGACTGCGGCAAGAAACGTAACAAATATTTTAGAACAGATTGATAATTTTCTTTTAATGCATGATAATTCTCGGCCTGATGCTGCAGCGATAGTTTTGGAATATTTTAGAGAGGTTGAAATCTAAGTTTTAGGGTAGTCCGCCCGCTCGCTAGACTTAAACAGCTAAACCCGATAGAGCATATTTACGGTAAACTAAGCAAGTTAACCAACGAAATCCAGCACCAGCTAACATTTGAGACCTTAAAAGAGCAATGTTAGTATAATGGGATCTTATACCACAAAGTTTAATTGACGATTTAATAAAAAGTAAGCCCAGACGAAAGCAGTAAGAGTAGGTAAATAATAAATAAATAGTTTACACACTAAATACCATAGAATTGTGACTAACTAACGTTAAAATAGATTGGCAATGGAAAAGAGAAAGAACACAATGTATGCGTATGTTAGAGCGAGAAAGATATGTTAGACCATTCACGTACACGCTATCGGGCTGGCGTCATTCGTGAGTAAAACAAATCCCGATTGTATTTGCAAAACCTCAGGTTTTAAAGTGAAAGTTAGTGTTTAACAGACTTAATTAATTATGCCTAGGTGTGTAGTACCCATGAAGCAAATACAAAGAGGAGATGTTGTAATTAAATTTCACTATGTAACAACGCGTGACAATTTGCGGGGTGAGGGGATGCAAAGCCCCGCCCACTTTACATTATCTACATCTACTGATAAATAGTAAAATAACTCGAATCTTTCCATATCGATGTTGCAATGTAGCTTAGCTACCTTGACGGTAGATGGCGGCATGTACACAAAATGTTATAAACTAGAAAAATAATATTTTGGCGATTAAAATTTCTTTATGTCTGAATGCAAAACAAATTTCAGCACCTTCGTATGATTATTTTATCTTTACCGAGCTCTACGTACCTTTATATTTTTAGTTCACAGGACACAAAGTGTCGCCATCTAGTGTGGAATATATTTAATTATATTTGAAAGCGGACGTAAAGAGAATTTTCTAGAACTATTTTAATAAATTAGGTGTAAAATTACTTGCAAATGAAATGTGATGCCATCCATAGCATCGGAGCGTCTATCTCATGAAGCAAATAGAAATTTAATCGCCAAAATAATTTTATAGTTTTCATAATAATTTTGGGAACAGGCCGCCATTTATCGTCAAGTAAACCTCATAAAAAATAACAAAAGGGCAGGGCCGCAATTAGAATTCAATTATTTTACCCAGTAACCCAACATTCAATATTAAAATGAAGGAAATTGTACTTGATGATTTTTACGAAATGTTTAAGTTATATTTAAGTGACATTCTATATGCAAAGAATCACTTAAATACAATAACACTAATTACAATCTAAAATCACACTAATAATAAAACACAGTTCGCCGTTATTTCGCTTCGAAGTATTCTCTTGTATCGCCAATCCAATACTGCCTCGGTCGTGGTCTATACCGGCCTTATATAGGGCCTCAGATAGTTTCCAGAATCTTCTACTGTAGCGACATCTAGAATGTTCGAGTACATATCGGTCCCGAAATTTCTGGAAGGATCTTGACTCTCCTAGTTCTGCTACTCGACACTAGAGGGCGCTAGTGTAACTAGTGTTGCCATGTACAAGACATTAATAGTGGCGCGCAATACTTTCATTTACTCGACACTAGAGGGCACTAGTGTAACTAGTGTTGCCATGTACAAGACATTAATAGTGGCGCGCAACACTGCCCCCTCCTAAGATATGCTCGTCCCGAGCATTATTCGCCCCATAATAACGCGCCAGTCGATCCACATGGACAATCTTAGGAGTACCTCTGGCACCTTTCTGTATCCGGTAGGTTACATCATTGATCCTTGTCACAATCCGGTACGGTCCGTCCCATTTAGCTTGAAGCTTAGGAGATTTCCCTTTGCTGCGAACTGAATTGTGTAACCACACTAGTGAACCTTCATCAAACCCCTTGTTGTTCATTTTGCGGTCATACCGTGTTTTCATCTTCTCAGACGTTTGCTGGCCCGTCTGTCTGACGTGCTCATAAATGTCATTTATTTTGTTCCGCAAGTCATTTGCATAATCGGTTATACTGCGTGGGGCATCAGGTGGTATTCCGGTGATCAGGTCTGCAGGCAGCCGTAATTCTCTCCCAAAGTTTGCGAAAGCTGGCGTCACTGACGTACTTTCGTGAACAGCGCTTCGATATGACAACAAAAACGGTTGTATGTGCCTGTCCCAGTCTCGTTGCCGTTTTTCCACAACTTTTGCCAGGTACCTTTCCAATGTCTGATTAAATCGTTCTACCATTCCAACAGATTGTGGGTGGTAAGAAGTTGTTCGTGTTTTATGGGTACCCATAACTCTGCAAGTTTCCTGGAATATTTGAGACTCGAAATTCCTTCCTTGATCGCTGTGAATCTCTAAAGGTACTACAAAACGACAGAAGACTTCATGAACTAGTTTATCTGCAATTGTTGAAGCTTCTTGATTTGGAATGGCGAAGACTTCTGGCCACTTAGTGAAGTAATCCATCACAACCATGAAATACTTGTTACCACTTTCACTTTCCGGAAACGGCCCCGCAACGTCAATGGCTATCCTCTCCCATGGTGCACCAACATTGTACAATTTCAATGCGCCTCTACTACGAATTTGAGGTCTCTTTACAGCCGCACAACTTGTACATTTGCGGCACCAGTCCTCGACATCGTCACGACAGTGGACCCAGTAAAACCGTTCTCGGATTTTCAGTAGAGTTCGTTTAACTCCCAGGTGGCCTCCTGAACAACCACTATGGTACAGCTGTAGGACATCCGGTACTTTAGCCTTAGGGACAACCATTTGCAAATGACAACTGTCTCCCCGACCATTTTCCCATTTACGGCACAGGACTCCATCCTGAATCAGCAAGCTGTCCCATTGGGCCCAATAGCTTTTCGTGGTCGAACTCATTGCTGAGACGTCGCTCCACTTGGGTTTAGGAGCACTGGCCCTCATCCATTCCAGAATCGGCTTAATATCCGAATCTTCCTGCTGTGCATGTTGTAGGCTGTCCTTCCACTCATTGCTGAGCTGGTCTGTCCTGAGCATCCTCACAGATACCACTTCCTTACGCTCTTGCCTAGTACAATGCTTGCAATCTTGAGGGCAAGGTCTTCTTGACAATGCATCTGCATTGCCATGAGATTTCCCGCTGCGATGTTCGATCACAAAGTCGTATTCCTGCAGTAGTTCAATCCATCTCGCAACTTGTCCTTCCGGATTTTTGAACTGCAATAGCCATTTCAGTGCAGCATGGTCAGTTCGTAAGTGGAATTTCCGCCCTAGAAGATATTTGCTAAAATGCTGCAAGGACTTTACCACAGCAAGCAATTCCCGTCTTGTGACACAATAGTTCCTTTCCGGTTTTGACAATGACTTGCTGAAGTACGCAATCACAATCTCTTGGTCACCATTCCGTTGAGACAACACACCGCCAAGTCCTATATCACTTGCGTCTGTGTCAACTATGAATTCCTTGCCCGCATCAGGGTGCCCCAAAATAGGTGTTTTGCACAGACGGTTCTTGAGCTCCTGGAATGCAATATCGCAACTTTCATCCCAGCAGACATGTCGCTTCTCCTCGGTTAGCTTGTGCAGAGGTTTGGCTATATCTGCAAAGTTCTTCACAAATCGCCGATAATAAGAGCACAAACCCAAAAATGCTCTAACCTGTGTCTTGTCTTTTGGAACCGGCCACTCCTTGACAGCGGCAATTTTTTCTGGATCCGTGCGGATACCTTCTTCCGACACTACATACCCCAAAAAACTAACTTGCCGTTTGAATAGTGAGCACTTCTTTGGACTCAACTTGAGGTTGGCACTCTGGATCTTCATGAGCACGCGTTCCAGGTTTTGAAGGTGTTCCTCAAACGTACGGCCTACGATGATGATGTCATCCAAATAGACCAGACAGGCATCTCCAATTAGCCCGGTAAGTACAAGCTCCATCAATCTTTCAAACGTTGCTGGAGCATTGCACAATCCAAACGGCATGACTTTAAATTACCACAGACCCTTTCCTGTGGAGAATGCAGTTTTCTCCTTGTCCTTAGGGTCAATTTCAACCTGCCAGTAGCCACTTTTCAGGTCCAGCGTACTAAACCACTTTACGCCTGTGAGCATGTCCAGCGTGTCATCAATTCTAGGCAAGGGATAGCTGTCCTTCTTCGTAATGTCGTTCAGGCGGCGGTAGTCAACATAAAACCGCATGCTGCCGTCCTTCTTCTTTACCAGCACCACAGGTGAACACCATGGACTAGATGAAGGTTCAATAACACCATCCTTCACCATTCCCTCAATCATGGTTTCCACTTCCTTTTCACGTGCTACAGGCAATCTTCTTGGCCGCTGACGAATAGGCAATTCTTGTCCTGTGTTTATTTTGTGTTGAACTAAGGCAGTCTTTCCTATGTCAGCTTCGTTTGACGAGAAAACATTGGCGTACTTGAGTAACAACTTCTTCGCCTTGACCATTTCATTCGGGGAGAGAACGCTGCGACAGTCTTCTAAAAGTGTGGTCACTCTCGTTTGTCCATCCTTGCTAGGGGTCCCGGTCGATAGATATTCGCACCGACGCAACCAATCCACTTCCTCACTAGTACCGACCAATGTGCCTTTTTCTATAATCTGTTCCTGATCACAAAGGTTCAACACACGTACTCCTGAGATGTCGGTGGTTC